GCCGTTAGGTAAGGGCCGAAGGGCGGCCCTGCCCCGCCCGCCGCCATTACGGGCAGCCCGCACGATGGGGAGAGGGGTGCGAGGGAGGGTAGTGTGTGTCTGTGGGGGAGAGTTGTGCCTCCCCCCTCCTCCTCCCTAGCAGCGGTTTGTGGTTGTTTTGTTGCGTTTTTTGTTTTTTTTTTTTCTTTTCCTTTCCTCAAGGAAAGGGAGCTGCTTTTAGCCACCCAGCTGGGGTGTCTCCAGCCAGCTAGGGTGTTGTGGTGGTTGCTGGGGTTAGCCCCCTACCACTCCGGGGGCTGCTGCCAAGACCTGGCTGTGGCAGTGAGTGCCATGTTGCCTTGTGAAAGCTGTGGCAGGAGAAGGAAGAAGAGTTTTCTGGGGTACCCACTCGGACAAATGCTGTTGTCAGCTGAGCCGGGGCTGGAAGAGGGATGTTGGATTTTGGGAATGAGGGGTTGTGCTATAGACCTGGGCCTGCTTCCTCTGCTGCCTCTGCTCTGGAAAGCTGCTTTGTTGCAGAAATGTAACCACTGTTGTGCCACACCAAGTAGTGTTTTATGTAACAAACCCATGAAAGGACAGGCTGAGAGAGCTGGGGTTGCTCAGCCTGGAGAAGAGAAGGCTCTGGGGAGAACTTATGGCAGCCTTCCAGGACCTCCAGGGGGCCTACAGGAAAGCTGAACTTTTTACAAGGGCATGTAGTGATAGGATGAGGGGGAATGGCTTCAAACTGGAAGAGGGCAGGTTTAGAATAGATATTAGGAAAAAAAATTTTCGCTCTGAGGGTGGTGAGGCCCCATCCCTGGAGGTGTTCAAGGCCAGGCTGGATGGGGCTTTGAGCAACCTGGTGTAGTGGGAGGTGGCCCTGCCTATGGCAGGGGGGGGGGACTCGATGATCTTCAAGATCCCTTCCAAAGTAAACCATTCTATGAAATTCCCGACTCCTCCTAATGTGGTAAAGTATACCAGTAGGAAAGGGTATGCAAGTGGCAGTAGAGGGGGAATGAAATTTAAAATGTGTTTTCAGTTCCTCTGGTATGTGCATTGGAGCTATGAAGCCCAAGAGAATCACTGGGAGTTGTACATCTGGACAGCCCATGTTAGCCATAAGGAAGTTGTCATTATAGGTATAATTATGTTTTAAAGCACATTAAAGAACTATGCACATACAAAGTTCAGTGTGCAACCTGGGTAAATTCATGTATTTTATGTGGTACGCAGGGCCACATGCAGAGAAGCTACTTTGTGAAGCCTATCTAAGAATTCAAGAGCTTGTTACCCGGTTTCAATAGCAGAGATAGGGAAGGAATGGGAATCTTCTGTCTTTTTTGACCCTGTATGGTGGCCTTATAATCCTTTTTCTAAATCTCTTCACTCTGGCAAACGCCTCATACTCAAGTCTTCCACTTTCTCAGCACGTTGTGCAAGTACTAGGCTCTCACACAAAAGGTACTTCCCACCATGAAGTTAAAATTTTTGAACTCGGCACTGTCCGCTTGTACAAGGTATTGTGTGTGAAATAAGAGTTTATAGAGGGTGAAAAGACACATTTTCACAGTGATATTTTCTTCCCTACAGAGACATCCAGCTAAATGTCATACCTTTGCACCAAATCTGAAAATGGTTGTTCTCATTAAAACAGTTGAAAGAATCTATTTAAAGCCAGCAGCCTGAGTCAGTTTTAACTGATTTTGTTCTTGGACATGGCTAGGAGTTTTTGACTGAAGTGTTCCTAAACAATTCATCCTGATTCTAATGCTCAAAATGGAGACTTCTGGCCCAGAAAGGAACAGCTTGGCAATAGTCTGAGTGGCAGAATGTTATTCCCTACAATGGAAAATGAATGGCAGCCTGAACTACAGATACGTACTATGATGGCTTTAAGTATGTAATTGTGAGCTATATGGAAATAGTTTTGTGATCATCACCTACAACGTGCAATTAGCAACCAAAACTGTACAGCATAGACTGCTGTAATGATGTTAGAAAATCACACTCGCTGTGAACAGAGCAGATGTTAGGCTTGTGCGAGTCCTGCATACAGGCTGAGATAATGTCCCCCCCTTCCTACTTTCAGTCCCTTGCCCTGCCCTTCAGCTTCTCCCTTTCCCTCACAGCCTGTGTGAGTCTGCCTGGTTTCTTGCCTTGAACTCTGGCTCAGGGCAAATACACAGCAGGGGAACACTGGAGAATCATTTGGGCATGCCTGCTGTTATGCATATCCAGCAGCGCTGCCCCACGTGTTTGTGCTAGTTAGAGAATGTCTCACCTTGGGCATTGTAACCCCCAGTGCATCTTGGTGTGCTGTTAGGAGAACAATAATGTTCCACGATTGCTTATGCCGCAGAATTGGCTGCATTCTTTGTAGGAAATATGGCTTCAGTTTCAAAAACATTAGCAAACCCCAAACAAAACAAAACCCCTGTGGAAGTTCCTGTGAATAAATGCAATAAGGCAGGTTGAGCTTTATTCCCTTGTCATTTCTTTGTTTACCCTGTTTATTTCTTAAGCACTGGGACTATGGCTTAGTACAAGCAAAACTGGATGATGGCTGTGATGTGTTGTGTTTGTAGTTTCAGCCTGTGTTCTCATAAATTGGGGGGTACACCCCCGCAGTCTGCTGACCTCTGAAAGTAAATGGGGTGTATGCACATACACAGAATTCCTTGCAGGCTAAAGGCTGTAATCAGCAAGATGCTGGATGGTGCAGCTCTGAGGTACTAAGCAATGTGAATATGCATGGCAGAAGCTGTCCATGAGTCAAACACAAAAATATATTATGGCAGCCAGACAGTGGGAGCAGCTCATAATATTCAGGGGTTTAAGCAGTAATGGGCAATTACAGCGTATTACTCTTATTAACGTTAAAGAAGATAAGATTGATAGGAAAACATTTGCATATAGGGTTGGGAACCAGTGTCACCCTGGTACACACACAAAATTATCTGAGGATATTACATAAATACTGTAGTACCACTACTGTGATGTTAGCCATACCCTTCTAACAAAAGCCATTTACTGGAGATTTTGTAAATGCCGAGAAATGATGCCCTTGCCAGAGTGCAGCAATCCCTGAGCACACTCAGCTGGGAGATTTCTGCTTAAAAACACTTGCCTTTTCCATAGTGAGCCCCTAAGCTTGCATCCAGAAGGGAGTCATCACAGCACGGTGTTGACACATCCATGCATAAATATTTGAGCCATGAAATCTCTCTGTCTGAACAGCTTCACATCAGAAGCGAGCTGTCACAGGCTGTCCTAACACCTAGGTGTTTTCTGCTACTTCATTTCACCCCCTGTGATGTTTTGCTTTTGTATCGTTGTTCCAGAGGCAGGAGATTGTAGAGACTATGTGAGTGCTCTCTACTAACCCAGCCATCACAGTAATAAGGCAGTATGGGTTGTGTGCAGGAGAAAGGTAAGACATAGTTCTGTCAAGAGTTAGCTGGTGCTAATGAAGGACCTGCCTCGCAGTACTCTCAAGGGCAAAATTTCTTCCCGCATCAAGAGTTTTGGCTGCTTGTTGCCTTTTGCACTGAATTCTAGGTTGGTACGCCTTGTTAGCTGAATTAGAGAGCTTTGGAAATTTGGAAAGTTACAGCTTTTCATTTCTTTCATGGTGATTGCTACTAGCTTACCATTAAACTCCAATAGGTCACTGCTCTGAATGTGAGGGGTTTTTTAGACAAGGAATTATTCTCATGGATTGGCAGCCAACACCTCAGACAGTTATCACAGCTAGCAACTGATATATATGCATAGCCTGGCTCCTCCACTGGAAGGCTGAGCTGGGGGGGAGGGTGGATCAAGAGAGCCACAAGTCTGTTGAGCTCCTAACATTTCCCTCATTTGAGCGCAGAACAAAATGAGTTTACCCGGTCAGTGTTTAGTCCTGATATAACATACCCAAGTTAACTGTTCCCCTTGAGGACCACTACACTTAGGGTATATCTACACTATCAAATAACTCAGAGCATATTTCCAGGTCCTGATTCTCCTATTGCCCAAACTAGGCCATTTGTTGATGCCCAGGCTCTCTTTAGGTATTAAACAGCTACTTCTGTCCAAAACAAGCTCAAACATCGTCAGGGGGATAGTTTGCTCAGGGGATAATGCGTTCCCAAGCACTATGGATGAGACTGCACCAGGCTTAACACTGCACTGCTTGGCTTGGCACTGGTGATCTTGCATTTGGGTAGATGCAGGCAGCAGTATAGAAGTCTGTTATGCAGCACATCCATGAATGCAGATAATCCTAAAAGCAAACAAAAATTCTGGAGTGTTGTGACTGTGAGCCTCCAGACATTAGGGTTCTTCACACAGTAATGAATTGAGAATCTCAGAATTTTATTAAAACACAAGTGCTGGTGAAAAATGCCTCTCTGTCCCCCAGCTGGACTAACATGAAAAACACACTTTAGACGTGAG